GCCAACAGCAGGACCACATCATCTGCAAAGAGCAGAGATGGAATCCTGAGGCCACCAAACCAGACTCCCTCTGCCCCCAGTAATTAATGCAAACTCTGTTTAGTAAACCTTCGCACTGCTGTCAATTTACACATTTAAATACATGAAATTATGGTTATTTGCTAGCAAAAATAACAGCTGACGCTAGCTGTAGCACTTTTGTTATAATATTCCACACCAAAATGGCTACAACTTCAAGTTTTCTTAAGATGGCAGCAATCTGCTTGGGTCTATTCATTCAATATATTTTATTGATCCCCAATGGGATCAATAAAATTAATAAGCATAAGGCCAGGGCTATTCAACTAAATTATTAAAGGGGCCACAGTTATTGAAAGCCAAAAGCTCAGACATCCAGCAGCTATTGTCATTAATTAAGGTTGTTTCACAATTTAAAATCTAGTTTTATTTAACAATGAACCCATTGGTGGGTCGAACTGAGCTCACTCGTGGGCCTGATTTGGCCCCCGGGCCACCAGTTGAATAACCCTGGTCTAGGCTCTACTTGGACTAGTCGTTAGCTCATCAATACAGTCTGAACTAAACTCTATTTCTCTAAAATGAAGTTGTTCACAGAGATATCCACAGCAGGTAAGATACCTTCATGTCTCAGCTGACTTTACAGGTTCAGCAGAGCTAGATAAGTGGCTGAAAATAAGTGACAAAGTTATAGTTTTCTACTGAACAAACACATGGAAGCATTGTTTACTGAACATGAAACAAGCTGACATGAAACCAAAAACCACCACATACGGAAGCTGTTTTCTGATCCCTTTCTAAGCACTGAACTCAAACTAACATTAAATCACACTGAAGTAACAGTTGTTTCCCACAGATGAAGAAAAAGAAAAGTTTCACAAACTTGAGTCCGACTGTTGATATAAAACTTCACTTGCAGAAAGAAATGTGTGATTTGTGTCTAAGCTTTTTAAATGCCTTCCTCTAATCTTGGGTAGCAACAGTTTTGTGTTTGACGACTTCATGAAAACTTTCCACAAACCACTTCCAAGCTCACCCACAATGACTAACGCTTCCTATGTGTCAACTGCTGCAGCTGCATTTTATCAAGCCCTTTGTTAACTAATAAACCCTAATTTCACAGCAATGACTGAACTGTGCGTTTTGCTGAGCTCGTGAGGATTTTTCCCGCTTGTCCTTGTCTTGCCAAGCTGTTTAGACTGTTTTTATCGCAGGCTGCTGAAGGCCAAGGCTGACTGATAATGTTTTTGCTCATGTCTGTGCGCAAGAGATTTGACTGAACTGTCAGCAAAAATCTCATGAACAACTGAACAGATTTTAATGAAATTAATCACTAGATGCACCTCTACAACAGATTCACGTTAGGAGTCAACCTGATATAACAAGGCCACAGCACTTTACTAATAAGCACAAAAACAGCTTTAACAGTGCCAGTTTTACAGATATTAAACTTACATTTGTTGTGGTAGTAGCTGAGCATTGTCCCCAACACATACTTCAAGGGCAACATGTGTGACAATTTTGCTTAAAAGCTTGCTATTACCTCTTAGTCAACCTTGTTTATCTGTTAGCAAAATAACTCGTAAACCACAGGAACCATTTCAATCAAACTCTCAGAAAGTAATAAATAATCAAGGCTGCTGTTTAATACACCGTATTATATTATATTATTATTGTTTAGCATACATCTTAGATCCTGTTTCTTTTTCTACTTTAAATTTTTGCTATTTTTTTGGTGTAACTGGGACCTTGAGTACACAATTTCATTCCACCTCATGTACCACGTGTGACGAGGATGACAACAGAAGTACATCTACAACTATGGAGTCAGTTCAGTTCAAGATGGCCGTCTCAGCAAAACATTAGCTCGATACAAAAATGTCTAAAATGAGCGGTTAAATAATGCCCACACGTGTTTGATGTCACAGCATCTGCAGTTTATTTTCCAGGTTTACAGGCAGGATCATCAGGCTCATGCTGGTTCCAGTTACAGAGAGAACTCCATCCACTGTTAATGCAGAAACCTCACATCTTGGCTTGTTTCACTCAGTAATGTGCAGGAAGAGCAAAAAATGAAAATCTTCAGAAAACAAAAGGGTAACACAAAACAAGAGATTCCAATGTCTCCGTGTAACAAAATAACTAAAAACATTCAGGGATTTACAGGAAAAGCCTTTTAGAAGAAGCGCTTCCTTATTAGATTTATTGGTCTGAGCAAAAACGGACGGGCTGCATGGAACTGAAAGCCACCTGTGGAGAGACAGAAGGTTTATGGAGGCCGTCAACGAGACGAGGACCCAGACGGTGACTTACAGATGCAGCAAACCTTTAGGAACACAAACGCTGAAGCAGAAAACAGTTTTACGTAAAAATGAACACCTGAAAGAGGAAAGAGCACCAACTCTAAAGCAGCTTTGTTCTATCTTAGCCGTGCTACTCAGTCGGTATGAAAATAAAGTGACAGCAGATAAGTGAATTATTTAATGATGGGTTTGGCAGAAAATATTGACTTCTGTTACAATTTATTATTATTTACTCCTTATTTTACTGATAAAGCTGATTTTCAGCCAGTTTTGTGAGGTTTGGTTATTTGAAAGTTGTGTTTTAGCCTCACTACCATTATCGGATTTGGATTCTTCTGTATGTTGACTAATGTTTTACAATAGTTTTATACTTTTTTAGGTTTAATTTATTAGAAATAACTACCGTGGCTCTAAGCTTATATCTACAAAAGAAAAATCTTGATAACGTAAAATGTTTTAAAGTGGGGTGTTTGAATTGTCATGAACAATTAATATCTTACCTGTTGTAGATAGCTCTTTAAGTAACTCCAGTTTGGAGAAACGAGTTTTATTTTGACCAAACTGAACAGCTAATGCCTAGTCGAAGCAAAACGATTCTGAATTGTTATTAAAATGTCAACACATTTTAGTATTTATTGTTAATGACTCCATGAAACGCATAAAAGGCTGTCTTGAAGAAATGCAGTACCCTGTTTATTTTTTTTTTTTTTATATATATATTTTTTGGCATTTTTAACTCAAACATGCCCCTTAAAAAGCATGAAATCAAACATAAAACAAGTTATTCTGATCTATATCAAATGGTGCAGTTTGAAAGAGTTTAGTCTTACAGATATATCGATATGCAATTCTGAAATGCAGGTCTGCACTCGATGTAAACAAAGCACTTTATCTGCATGCTTCACTCAACAAATCTGAGCATAAATGTGTAGCAACACACCAAAACGAAAGTCGCCTTTGTTGCCCTTTATTCGGTCACTTCAGCTGTTTCTTTATGTGATGTATGAGAAAAAAAAGTGCAGATTTTGTTTCTTACTTTATGAATTTCTTTGACCAGTCTTCATGTCATTGCTACGAGCCCCTTAAAAGGGAAAAATGGTAAAATCCACACTATACGCAGGCCGAGTTTACGTTTCCACCTGCTCGTTGTTGCTGCTACTTAAGGTGCATCTTAAGTACCTCTGGGGAGTGATGGCGCAGATTGGAAGGTCGCCGGTTCAACTCCCCGGACCGACAACATCAAAATGTGGGTGGGAAAGGTGAAACACCCACACCTGCCTCAGCCCCATTTGCCCCACTCTGGGCCCTTGAGCAAGGCCCTTAACCCCCACCATCTGTTCCCAAACAGGTCTCTCTTGAAAATGAGTCCTTGTGACACTCAATCAACCTTTATTTATACAGGTAAATCCCATTGAGCCTCGAGGACTCATTTACAAGAGAGACCTGATTTCAACAAAGAAAGATGACAACAATGGACAACAGCAACAACAATAAACAATTATAAAAAGTAATACTGCAGTTTTTTTTCTTTTTTTTACAAATAGGATGGCTAAAAGAAAAAGGTAACAAAAAAACAGCTGGATTCTAAGGCGAATGTAGAAAACTAAAAACAGGAACATGTCTGCGTTGGTCCCTGCCAGGAGTCCAACAGATTCTTAAAGCCACTTAGAGAGGTCAAGGTCGCAATGAGACTACCTGTATAAATAAAGATTAAATAAATAAATCTCTCTGGGCGGTGATTGACTAGTTGGCAAAAGGCATTAGCGAGGAGTCTCCAGAAGAACAGAGGTACTGATCCAAATCGGCCTAACTTTATTTCTAAGTGTACTTCAGTAGATTAACCATAAACATGAGGGGTGCCACTGTCCCTGCATGTATTCAGCTTTTTGACTCCGGGTTTTTTTTTTGTTTCTTTAGTTCCTTGCTTTAATAAAACTTTTTTATATATTACAAATTAATGTAAAAGTTTTTTTGTTGTTGTTTTTTTTTAGGTCTGGGAGATCTTATGCTCAGAACTTTGTTTAAAGTGTGTGAATGCACTGATAATCATGTTATAACCACACCGCAGCCCTCTGAATAGTAATCTAATATTCAAGTGCCTAAATATTTCTACCCATAACTGTTTTAAAAACAAGTCAGTTTCAGAAATTTTATAGATTTTACAAGAATGCGTTTTATAAACCTTTACACCACCGTCAGTTTTGTGGTTATTTCAGCAGAAATGCTGTGAAATTCCTGCAGAAAGTACTCCAAATGTGCCATTTAAAAAATAGTTATCTACAGCAGGTAAGATATTCATTTACACCATACCATTTCCACAGAAACAAACTTTAAAACATCTGAAATATTGCTTTAAGTCCTATTTTATTCTTATTTGGGGCTAAATATCCCTTTACACCTCAGCTGTGAAAGCATCCTGCTTCTTTAAATCTGTTTGTGCGAACACTCAGCAGCTACAACTGAACATCACATCTGGAAAGAAGGGGAAAAAACAAAAACATACTCTCACGCAACATCAACACTTCCTGGAATTACCGAAAAACAAGTTCAATCTATCAAAATACTCACATTTATCTCTGACATAATCTAAAAAGCAAGAGTTGTTTCATTAATATTGTTTTCTATTAAAAAAATAGACATTTTTATTTTTGAAGAAACAATGAGAGTTCTGGTTCTATGTGTCCAACATATATATAAACAGTATATATATATGTGTGTGTGTGCTTATGTGGTGTGGGCTCAGGAGGGAGTGGTCCCGGGCAGCAGCTCTGCCTCAGATGCAAACAGCTCCTTGTAGAGCGGAGGGAACAGGGAGTGAGCGGTGAGCGGGTACCGCTGACTGAACCAGCGCAGCTTCTCCATGTGCAGAGTGCACAGTGAACGCAGCACTGCCATCCTCTGGTACAGCTGCAGGACGGAACACAGAGGGTTGGACGTCTGCTCACTCAGACAGCGAGAACAGTGTGAAAAGATGACGCAGAACCTACCTTATGCATCAGACTGTCCTGGCTGTCTCGGCGAAGAATGTGAGTGAGTCCCAACTCCACGCTCCTTTGCACTCGCTGAACTCTCCCTCTGTCCTCCAGACAAGGACGGTCTGCACAAGAAGAACACATTTGAGCAGATATTAGACGTAGGGGTGATGGTTGTTTTGCCTGCATCTGTCATTTGTCTGCACTGTTAACAAAATGTCTCATGAATGTGTGCATGGATTATAATGAAACTGTCAAGAAGTAACAGATGTACGCCTGCAAGTCAAGATTTCCACAGCAGCTAATCGACATCAGCCAACGTGCAACGACTCTAACTCAATGTGATAGTAGCTAAAAGTAATCTCCAACACATATTCCGAGCATGACATTTTCCTCTACAGCTTAAATTTTCTGCATTGACTATCGGCATCAATATTGGCGGGCAATATGCATTTTTTCCAGCAATGCTCTACCTTTAATTTTTTTTAGCAGCAGCCATTTCTGCTGTTAGGTTGTGGCAACTTTAACCGTTTCATCCAGTGGGGTTCTTCTCCATCCATCCATCCATCCATTTTCTTTACCCACTTGTTCCATTTTGGGTCACGGGGGTCGCGGTGCCCATGTCCAGCAATCACTGTGCGAGGGGCGGGGTACACCCTGGACAGGTCGCAGGTCCATCACAGGGCCACATAGAGCCAAACGAGACAAACAACCATTCACTCTCTCACTCACACCTAGGGACAATTTAAAGAGTTACCAATCAGCCTAACATGCATGTTTTTGGTCTGTGGGAGGAAACCGGAGTACCCGGAGAAAACCCACGCATGCACGGAGAGAACATGCAAACTCCACCCAGAAAGGCCCCTGGACCGGGGTTTGAACCAGGGACCTGCTCGCTGAGAGGCAGCAGCTCTACCAGTTGTGCCACCGTGCTGCCGTGGGGTTCTTCTGTCAATATTAATTTAACAAAATCAACAGTTTGCTTCTATTTTTTTGTCTCATTTGCATGAAGGGTGGGCAGCACGGTGGCGCAACTGGTAGAGCTGCTGCCTCTCAGCGAACAGGTCCCTGGTTCAAACCCCAGTCCAGGGGCCTTCTGGGTGGAGTTTGCATGTTCTCTCCGTGCATGCGTGGGTTTTCTCCGGGTACTCCGGTTTCCTCCCACAGACCAAAAACATGCATGTTAGGCTCATTGGTAACTCTAAATTGTCCCTAGGTGTGAGTGAGAGAGTGAATGGTTGTTTGTCTCGTTTGTCTCTATGTGGCCCTGTGATGGACTTGCGACCTGTCCAGGGTGTACCCCGCCCCTCGCACAGTGATTGCTGGACATGGGCACCAGCGACCCCCGTGACCCAAAATGGAATAAACGGGTAAAGATAATGGATGGATGGATGGATGCATGAAGGGTTGAAGCTGCTGGCTGTGGCCCTTTATTGAGGACAGTCAGTGTTTACCCTGAACATCTGAGGCTTTCTGTTTACAGTTCAAATATACAAGTTAGCCTCAACGGCAGATTGACGGTGGCCACATTTCTGACTATAGGTGGGTGTCGATTACCCCGTTAGCTCAGCAGTCGACTGATAAGTGGCTGCAACGCTTTCCAACACACTGAGACCTTCTCTGAGAAGGAACTACTCCTGAGTAAATTGAAACATTTCATTCAACTTTGGAATTTTGCTCCTCTTTTCTCTGCATAAACATTTGCATGAATCCAACTTTGTGGTTCGTTTGAGCATGGATGAGTGGGAGCACATTTAACCTCTGGCACCTTAAAGATGCCAGAACCAAAACTAAAACACTTATTGCATTACGGGACAAAAATTGCTTTCAATTTTTAATAATTTTATATTTTGCATTTAAAAAATATATACTTTTTTTTGTTTACTAACACAAAAAGTATAAATTTGTAAGAAAAAAAGAATCTGCAATGTCATATAATGGCCACTAGGTGGCAAGATAACTAGCTCTGTGAAAAATTAATAAAAAGTTCAACATTTGAGCTAAAACAAAGGTTTTTTTTTGTTATAATTGAGTGAAACTGATCTGTGATTTTGTAAGCATTAACTTTTGAGGTTTTCAGATATAAAAATACAATTCAAATAAATCCTAAAGAGAAAAGAAAATTAGTTTTTATACGATTAACTAAATTTGTGTTTTAGAAGCCTGATGAGCATAAGATTAGGAATATGAAACTGAAAATAAGTTGTATTTGTCCAATAGTCAAATGTTTAATCGATTATTCCTCCCACTTTTTGAAAAGTTACACCAGTGGTTCCCAAAATTGGAGTCAGGAGCCCATCATGGTCATAAAACCCCAAAGGAGGGGTCTTCAGATGATGTCCCGGATTCAAATCAACTTTAAATCATTAGAAATGACTGATCAGCATGTATTTACTGTATATTCTACAAAAATTTAAAAAAGGAGTCAATAATTTGCTGGAAATAAATTTAAAGATTGTTTGTTAATAGATATCCTTGTTTAATGACTTATTGATAAACTTCAATCCGTGACAGTCGAGGTCACAGTCCTCGAAAAAAGAACTAAATATTTGGAAACTGCCGGGTTAGACACACAAAAAGATGAGCATGAAGCTAGTTAATCTCAAGCTGCCTGCATGAAGCATGTTTAATCTCATACTGCCTGCATGAAGCATGTTTAATCTCATACTGCCTGCATGAAGCATGTTTAATCTCATGCTGCCTGCATGAAGCATGTTTAATCTCATGCTGCCTGCATGAAGCATGTTTAATCTCATGCTGCCTGCATGAAATTGGTTAATCTCATGTTGCCTGCATGAAGCTGGTTAATCTCAAATTACCTATGTTAAATTGGTTAATCTTATGTTGCCTGCATGAAGCTAGAAAATATCATGTTACTTGTGTTAAACTGATTAATCTCATGAAACTGGTTAATCTCATGTTACCTGTGTTAAATTGGTTAATCTTATGTTACCTGCATGAAGCTGGTTAATCTCATGTTACCTGTGTTAAATTGGTTAATCTCATGAAACTGGTTAATCTCATGCTGCCTGCATGAAACTGGTTACTCTCATGTTGCCTGCATGAAGCTGGTCAATCTCATGTTACTTGAGTTAAACTGGTTAATCTCATGAATCTGGTTAATCTCATGTTACCTGCATGAATCTGGTTAATCTCATGTTACCTGCATGAAGCTGGTTAATCTCACGTTACCTGCATGAAGCTGGTTAATCTCATGCTACCTGCATAAAGCTGGTTAATCTCATGCTACCGGCATAAAGCTGGTTAATCTCATGCTACCGGCATAAAGCTGGTTAATCTCATGTTACCTGTGTGAAGCTGGTTAATCTCATGTTATCTGCATGAAGCTGGTTAATCTCATGTTACTTGCATGAAGCTGGTTAATC